GGGATGCTTCTTTGTGGCAACCCACCTGGCTATTTCAAGCTGGGTGTGAAGTTGAATTGAGCTTTGGGCCCGAAAAGAGCAACAGGAAAGTCTGCACTTGGTACCACCAAGTAAAGACTACAGCTAGTTGACCTCTAATGAGAAGATTCAAGACTCTAGTTGATTTACAAGGGTCCTCCCTTGGCAGAGTGCCTTTTCTTATAACTGGGCCAACTGTTGTCTGCAAGAGCCAACTCTAGAAAATACAGGCTCAGCTGAAGGTGACAGCTCTTGCTCCTTCCTGTATTGGTGTTCCTTGTCTCTAGCCCTTGGTGAGTCTTCACAGTAAAGGGATCCTGGAGGTGAAGGTTAACTAAACCTTTTCAAGTAGTGGATTACCTTTCTTTTACTTACACTTGTTGAATCTGGCACTATTGAGCAGATATTTGTATATATAAGTTATCCTCAATGTTTGTGCTATTGGTTCTAATTTTGTGTGTGTGGTAAAAGGTGAGGAGAGAGGATAACTCCTGGGAAGGAGGAAAGGGTTTATATACCTTTCAGGCTCCCTCCTCCTCACTCTTAAGATATGGGCTGGCTTGTGGTTCCAGCTCATGCTATTACAGGGCCACATAGGCCAATCTGTGGTTTTGTTATTCTAATAGCGGGGCCTGCTGATTGGCTCCTGTCATAAGTATACTATGCTTATGAATCTTGAAACTGAGCCTGAGGTATGGTTTAATTGTTACACTTCTCATTAACTGTGTTACATTACTCATTACATATGTTACACTATGTTTATTACACCTATTCCTCCTGGTTACCATGTATGCACCTATCTGGTTTCAGTCTGTGGGACTGCTGTGCAGTCCTCAGGGTTGACACTCTCTACATACTACCTCTTAGCTTGACCTTTTCTTAAATTTTGGGATGTAGAGGGATTGAGTCCCTCCCTATAGATTGAGTTGGAAGACCCAATACCTCTCCCTCCATTACTTTAGGGAGAAAAGAATTGAGTCTGATTTGATCTGATCCAATTCTCTCCTTCTAGTAGAGGGAGAGGTTTGGAGTTTTCATATGATCCCCCCCCCTGTAAGGCTGGGAGCCTTACAGGGCTACAAGTACAAGCATGGGAGTAGCAGGATAGTAGCATAGTGCAGAGTTGGTGTGTGACAGACAACCACTGAGGCCTAGCTCCAGGAGAACTCATGACTCTCCATTTTGTGGGCACCTCCTGGAGCTAGCTAGCTAGGGGACTTTGCAATTTTATTTCATTGATTGTAGAGTTCTCTCAAGGCCATCTTGATGTCATGAGAGAGTGATCAATAGTGAGGGTGTCTAGCCTAAGACACACTTTACACCCCCTCCCCCCCCTCCCCCACCCCCTCTACATTCAATGGAGGATTAAGTCCTCTCCCTCCACTGTAGAGGGAGGGATAAAATGAGGGAGAGTCAATCTGCCCTCTCTATCCCCTGTATTAGCAAGACAATCAAGTCAATTTGATTGTCTCTCTCTCTCTCTACACTGGAGGGAGATCCTCCCTCTACTGAAGGGGGGGGGGGGTGGAACCAACAACAAATTTTGGATTGGACAGACATGTCCATCCAACACAATATTTTGATATCCAAGGGGGGATCTTGGAGATGAGCATAGTTGTATTGGCTGAATGCATCCAATTTTGAGTCAGATTCACCAACACAACCCAACTTCCTTGGTGGTGGGAATTCAAACTCAATCCTTCCTCTACAGTATGGGGGGGAAGGGGGGGGGGCAAATCCTTTTTCCTCCATCCATCTGTTGTGTCTTCTGTAGTTTCACAACTCTCTGTAGTGTTGTTATCTCTTTGTTACTGAGTTCAATCTATGATAATATCACCTGGGATATATCATACAGGATGTCACTCTTTTCTTCACCACATCCCACATATGATGCTTTCAGGTGAGACCCTTTCCTGTTTGTCTTCATTGCTTCTACTTTATGAAAGAGAGCAATAAAGACTTATGTTAACACATCTCATACATTCCTCCCAGTTGCCTGCTCCCATCCTGTCTACATTACTCTCTCCCTCTACAGTACAAGAGGGAAATGGATCAAGCAACTCCTGTCCTCGAATTGAAGGAGGGTGGTCTCCCTCCTTCAACAGCATGGAGGGAGGAAGGAGGGAACTTAAGATAAAATGCTGGGAGGGCCACAGGTTTGGAAAGAATTTGTGTGCATGGAGCTGCAGCTCATACAACTCCGCAACCCATGCTGTTATTGATGGTGAACTCACATTTCCTTGAGGTCAATGCTGCACACTGGCCTACCAGAATAGGGGATGTGTGTTCACCTCATCTAGGTTCTCCCACACAAGCAATAAGACATCTATTTCTTGTCCCCCCCTCCACCTTACCCAGCATCATACACCAATCAGACCAATTTCAAAAAGGAGAAAGACAACACAAGAAACTAAGCATGCTTAGAAGGTACCTCTACCCACCACCAAATCCTGCTTGAGGGACAGAATTAAGCCTGAGATGAGCTTGAAGGATTCATCTCGACTTCTTCCACATTCTCTACCTCTTCTGTCTGAACCTGAGACTGCTTCTCTTTTACCCGGGCCTCCTTCTCTTCTACCGGAGCCTTCTTCTCCTTCTCCCTCATTTCCCTTTCCTGCTGTTCCCTCAACTCCTTTTCTTGTGTCTCCTTGGCTTCCCTTTCCCTTTCTCTTTCCTCCAATTCCCTTTCTCGTTCCTGCTTCACTTCACTTTCTCTTTCCTCCTTCGCTTCCCTTTTCCGTTCCGCTTCCTCTTCCTCGGCTTCGTTTCCATTCCTCAGATCACTGCCCTCACCTAGATCACCATCACCAGTGTCTTCCACTCCTTTCTGCTTCTTACCCACCACACCGTCCAACACTACCGGCGACATCGGCCCACCCATCAGTTGGTCCGCAATCTCTCCCCCGCTACTACTCGGCCTCTCCTCTTGAGTCTCGACAGCCAATTGATTTCTCTCGTCAACATTGTCTAAATGAGCCTCGAGCCCATGATCGGGGCTTGCGAAAGCTGGCGTGGCCACTGGACGGGGGCTGACGGGATTCTGAGTGAACGCGAGGTGAGCTAGCGAGCGCCCGGGTGAGGGGTTATAGACGGAAGGACTTGAAGCTGAGAAGGCATCGTCGTCAGTTCGATCGGGCGGGATCGGCGTCTGTGCTAAAGTAGAAGAGGGGACGATGTTCCGTGGCAAGACAGACTCTGAGTGAGTTGAACTAGGCTCAGGAAATCTGGATGATGTTGTGGTAGCAACAGACGAACGTCGGTCGTGTGACACAGATTGAGGTACGGGGGAATCAGACGCGAATGGGATCTCCCTCGGACCAGGCTCAGGTGTTGTAGGTGAATCCTTCTGTGATATCCCAGCCTTGCTCCCGGTCCTCGTGCGCGATAGAGATGTGGAAGAGCCGGTATAGGTCGTACCTGGATTTGCACCTAGGTAATGAGCAGCAATAGGTACCATTTTTCCTTCGGCGAGGCAAGCGAGAAGCCAAGTGGGTTGAACGATCGGGATTGAGAGTTGGAGTGCACGTTGGTACTCGAGTGATGGAAATGCACTGGCCTGACTAGCCCTAGCCTGATTAGGGTGGTGAGGCGCAGTACAAACGAAGTGAGTTGTATCGATTTGTATCTTTTCCGTCCATCGCCCGCCCATCTCCTCCAGAGCGTCTTTGGACTCTTCCAATAGCTCATCGGGAACTACGATCCCAAAGCAGACGTTGATGCCACTGGTGTCATTGAGTGAATGGGTTCTAATCTTGATCGGCTTAGAGCTGAACTTTCCTCCCGTTGTTTTCATCACCAGATGGAACGCGTATTCCGTATCGAGATCGAGCCCAGATAGCTTTGTAGAGGAATTTGTGAGAGGGTTAGGGATTGGTCCCAGGCGCTGGCCATTCTTCCAAATCGATAGTGACAACAGCTTTGACTGCGCTAGCTCGAGTTTGTCCCATTCTAACGCCACAGAGGTTTGAGTGACAGATCTTAGCTTGAGGTTTGGTGGTTTGGGCGAAGAGGAGCCAAATTGATTAAAGATCTTCTTCTGAAGCTCCCAGAATGATTTTGCCTGAGCTTCTTCTGCTGCATGATTTCGGGAGCAAGTGATGCTGACGATCGAGCCCGGTTCGCAGCCGGGAGGGAGGAGTAAAGATGGGAATTCGATCAGGTGAGCATGGGAGCCAATCAAGACGGCAATCTGTGTAGGGTGAAAGGGAACAAGGCAATTTCAGGTTGATACTTGATGAGTCAAATGGGAGAGTGACGAGTACGAACCCCAGCATCGATCTTGCCGCAAGCTATTTTTTGAAAGTAGGAGACGAAGGTATGTTAGTTAAGCTTCGGGTTGATAGAAAGAGGACCGATCGACACTCAACTGAACGTGTAGCTCGTCTCACCATCTAAATCAGCAGGATGAGCGAGGTCGTAGCCGTTGGCAGCAGTCATCTTGAGTGAGATGTGAGACGAGGGGTGGTTAGAACAGAAAGGGGGGAGGGAAGTAAGTGAGAAATGTGCAGGGATTGAGTTGGAGTGACTGTATACATACGTGATAGTCAGTTTAACCCAACCCATTCAGTTCACCACTCAAGTCATCCCATCCTCACCTCTTCTCTTGTGCCACCACACATCCTCTAATCCAACAGCTCTTCACTTTTTACTTTGACCAAGTTATCAGGGTGGTTTTGATGATACAAATTTATGAGATTCGATTGTTTCTATTACTGTATTTCTATGTTTCTGTGTCTTCTCCAAGCTCTCAATTCCGACATCTCAAGTGAACCATTGGACAATAACTTCCTGAGAGATTTTATAACATTGCCTGGCCCTTTGAAATATGTACAGTACAACTTCAAGTAATAAAAGAATCTGAAATAAGAGAAACTTATACTCCACGCTTGATATCAGTTTTATTTATCTTCAAGGAGCTACAAGCATCTGCCATTCTGAAACCCACCAAAATTCCTCTTATTTGGTCTTTTAAACGACGTCATGGCCTGATGGTCTAGTAGTATGATTCGCCCTTCGGGTTTTCAAGAACCCCTTGGATTTCTAAGTGATTGGGCGAGGTCCCGGGTTCAATTCCCGGTCAGGCCCTTTTTTTTGTTTCTTCCTTCCCGACATTTGGATCAAAAATTTCACTTCGTCAGAATTCTTTTGACTATGGATAAGTCAAATATGAAATCAAAGAAGTACAGTCACCTCTCTTTATAAGTATCATTATTATTCACTCTTTTGTGATGCCTAAAGAGAGGTATGCTAAAAAAAACCCAATGTTGCAAAGTGACTTGAACAGGGTCTCAGTTCAATTCTTGGTCAGGCCCAGTTTATATATATATATACATTTAGCTGTTCCCTAAGATTTCTGGATCAAAAGTTTTTACCAGGTAATGATTTTGGTGTTTTGAATAATCCAGACTTGGAATTTGAGTTGAATATGTAAAAACTGAATGAGGACAAATGAAACCCCTATTTCTTCTCCTCAGACCAACTTTTTTTTTTTGCTTTGTCTCACTCTCAGGATTCTGGTATCAAAGGTTTCACATACTTGTAGTTCAAAACAAAAAATGTGCCAAGATTTTTTTTTTTGATTTTCTTTCTTTCTTTTCTTTTTGATTTTTCAACCATAAACAAGTTTGTGATTCAAGATTTCTGCAATGTTTCATTTGATGAGCACAGAATAAGACCCTACTACTTCTTTGTTTGATATTCATTTATTCAAACTGGAAAAAAGAACCAGAGACTGATTTTGAAAACACTTACTCTCAGAACTAAATGTTGTAAGACAGACTTTTGCACTACCAACTTTTAACTTTCCTATTTTCCTTACAAGTCAACCATGATGACAGTGCCTATGAAAAGTTATCAAAGAAACACCAAAACTCACTGACTCGAAACTCAATGTTGTTCAGAGAGACCCACTGTAGTGGTCTCACATGTTGGAAATACTTGAGAAAGCCTATATCTTTACTTTTTCATATGTCAAAGCCAAGTTTAAGAAATGTGTCAGGCAAACAGTCAAGACATGTGATTTTTGAGCTCAAAACAAAACTTATAAAATCACCTAGAGAATCACTAAGCATCTTGTTCACCATGGAAATAGGGGACTGTTGGGAAAGTAGGATTTTCAGGCCCTGAATGAGCATGTGGGACTGAGTCTGCGAAACAAACCAGCATTTACCAACAATTTCATTGGTTGTACAATTACTTTCAGCATTAAAAAAGTTCCCAGAATGGAATATGTTTGCTAAGAAAGAAAATGCAAGAAACACAAAGTCCATAAATTCAGTGGAGAAAGATAGAACTGGAAATGAAACCTTTCAGAAACTCCCTTTGGGACTTTTTCAAGGGGGTTTACATATGCATTACCATCTTTAGGAGATCCAAAAAAAGTTCTACTCTGTCCCTGTACATGTGATTTTCCTGTGGAAAAACCTCAAAAGGTTACAATGCTTTTTTCAGTGCAAGAAGATCTATTGTGTTTTTCTTTCATTTTTTTTCAATTCACTCTACATCATGTGCATTTTTCATCTCAGCAGGCATGTTTTCCCATCTGGGAACCTGTTCAATGCTGGCAGTGTTAAGGTTTCTTACCAACTCCAGTTTCTTTTCTACCTCTAATTCTTTATGGAACCCATCCACAATCACAAATCATGAAGTTCTTGGTAGCTCTTTTTTTTTTTTTTTTGAGTGAAAAGGTGAGAGGCTTTAAAGGGAAAACTATGAACTAGTCAATCCTTCCAAGTAGATCCCTCCCATGATTAACAACCCTTTTACCTCAAATCAAAAACCCAAATTCTTATCCTCCCACCTCATCTTTAACCCTCTCAACCATCTCAAGCAATTTGGTGTTCACCACTGTGAATGCTATGAGAAGTCTTCTTATAACAAGGCTTATTCACAGGCCTTTTCATAGTCTTTTTATTCTTCTGACTCAATAAAAATCAGATAGAGGTCAAGAAGCAACATGAAGAGTTTGAGAGGTGCAAGTTGGGCTTGGTAAGCCAATAAATTGTTCAACTGGTCTACTCATTTCAAGACCAGATCATCTCTACCTTGTGATGGACTACATGAGTGGTGGAGACATGTTGAATTTTTTGTTACTTTAGCTCATTTTATTCTCCAATCAGAGTCATGAAGCTTCTGGCCCTTATAAAAAAAGAAACAATTTCTCTTCCCCTGTACTCTGGTCCTTCAAGACCTGAGCCTGGGAATTCTTACCACTTCAGACCTGTTTCTCCCTCTATATGTATAAATCAAATTGTAATGATGATGTAGATTGATATATTCAGACTATTGTGGAACTCCAATAGTGCTAAATTACTGGCAGAGCTTAGAAGGGAATAAAAAAAATTAAATACACTTAAAAAAATCAATTATAAAGGTCAGTTTGAAGGCAAGATTTAGCTTTCATAAATTTTTTCAATTTAGGTAGCGTCTTCTACACATGTCCCAATATATTACAAATGTGTTCAAGTTGAAGCTCGGAAGCTTAGTGACACTTTGGTTGGCCTTGTCCATCAGAGTCAATGTGTTTATCTCTTTGTTTTAGCGCTGAGTGCCCTAAACAACGTGCAATCGTCATACTCTCAAAATTTAGCTTATTCCCTTTATTTAAAGTAAAGACTTTCAGGTAAAATCTGAAGTCTGGAAAATCTTGCAAAAAAAAGGACTGAAGACTTTACTCAGCACTGAAAAATAACTCTAGATCTTCAGTTTCCCTATAGGAAAAGGAGTAAATGTTTGTAGTGTTGTCTGTAAAATTTCTTCCCTCGTACCAGTAGCTGCCTAATTCCTTGCTTATGTTGCCCTGGGTTGGGTTCATGAATTACCAAAAATAGAGCGTGTGCAAGAATCATTCTAAAATTTTGTTTAATGCTATTGAAACTGTAATGCAAACCGATAAGTCAATCTTGACATATGTTTTTACGTCGAGTTAACATATAGAAAGTCAAGAGCTCGATAGTTTTGGCTTTTTATGTCTCCTCATAATGCAATTCAAGTGTAAAGATTGGCCAAATATTACTCTACAATTTCAGTCGTCTCCATCTTCATTCACCGCCGGTAGATACGCGACCCTGTTTTTTTTTTTTTTTTTTTTGGACATCTAAAGCTTATTAACTAAGCATGAGGAAGAACGGAGAACAGAAAGACGACTTACAAAGTACCGGCCATCGATTGATCATCTGGCTTGCCAATATAAATGAACATGATCAACGAATGCGCTTCACAAACACCTGTCAAAGATAGAGAGTATCAATTAATCGGATGCCTGGCAAAGGAACCAAACAAAAAGGAAAGCAACAGACAGGCAAGCGAAAGCTCTGCAATCGCATGAGCTTGAAGGAATTTTAGAAGGCCACGCGACTTGACGGTCGTGTGGAAGAAGTGACTCGATGGGTAATTTGTAGACGGAACCATACTCGCGGGCGCTAAGACAAAGAAGTTTTCAGATTAGCTACAAAATGAGAGGACCGTTAAAGAGGGTGAAGACGTACGTTGAGAATCCGAATCTGGGGGTGGCGTCGCAGGATGGCGCGCAGGCCCTAGAGCTAACCCTCGCCATTCGGTCTCCACATTCACATGTTCACTCTTGATCCCAAGCTTGAGACTTCCGTCTAAGTTAGCAGAGACATGAATAGAGCTTGAGAGGCTTTTCAGCCGTTCGGCCACCTTGCACACATCTGTCAGCTTCGGTAGCGTGATCTGAACCTGTTCTTCCAAGAAAAAAATGTGTTTATATGATAAGATGGAGAGATCGTCTGGAAAGGACTCAGTGGGAACGGTGCACGTTTGGAATGGGGGCCGGTGGCTCGCGAAGCATTTCCGCGTCTGCTGGTCTCAAAACGCGTACGGCGACATGTTGTTCGAGCTCGTATTCGGTTCGGTTCAAGCTCTGATTTTACACAGAAAAAGAAGAGTCAAAGACGGCAACTAACGAAACGAGAGTGGTGAGAGATACTGACAACAGCTCGTACTACGAAGCTCAGTACGGGCGTTTTGCCGCTTTTGCCGAGTCGGATCACCATCTCTGCTCGCGAACCGGATGAGGCGCGCAGGACGCTGGCGAGAGCCTGAGTGGTGAGTTCGAGTGAAATCTGATTTGCAGCCTGGGATTGGATCACATAATGGTGCTCGAACAAATCTTTCTTGAAAACCATCGCAAGAAACTTTCAACGTTCATCTTTTATTTTCTCTCCTGACTGTCATAGCGGCGCTCACGACGTTGACCGTCCTAAATGGCCGTCAGATTGGTGAGTGTTGTTCTTGTAAACGGCTGAAGTGGGTAAAGATGAACCCACTCAGAAGTAAATGACGCAAGCAGACTTACCCGAAAAACCGAACTCCGTCGTCTACGTCGCCAGTCGAGATCACCTTCAGCTCAATGGGCGTGAACATGAAGACGGCTCGCTTGGAGAGCTTTGCGACGGAGTCGACTAGTTCTGCGAGCGTGAGTTTAACATCAGTCGACTCTCTGAAGCACGGGGGAGCAGAAGGACACTACCGAACTGGTGAAAGCGGCCAAGTTTGAGACCTGAGCTCGGAATCGCATCGTACGTGGAGGTTTTGAGGCTGAGATGTGGTGCGGACGAGGTGCTGGTCCTCGGTCGGGTTTCGAGAATGAAACTCAAGACAAGAGAAACTTTTCTCATTCAACCCGCCCCCCTTTCCCATCTGTCTCATATAGTATGGCTCTTTCAGACGAGCCGAAGACCCTTCTCATGAGGCCCGTCCCAGAGTCCGTCCACTTCCTTCGAAGTCTCAGCTCAACACAATCATAATCTCACTTGCACCAGAAAAGCAGAGAAGGCCTGTTCTAGCTTTCTATTTTTTCCTTGCACACACTAATAACTCTAGTAAGAATAAGATATGCACACACAGCGAGTGTAATTCTAGTTGGGAACAGTTTTACAAGGTATAAGTGTAATTTACCGCCCACCATCGCTACTACACAATTTGGATGGGTCCACCATCATTGGCGCTTGAGGTTTGAATTGAGATACCCCACTGTTGTACCGATACAAGGTAAGAAGTGTTAGTGTCTCGTCATGTTCAGGATTGGCTTGACAGTTGGACTAGGAGCAATACTGTGAACA